ACATAGGTACAACTTATATTCCATATAGGAAAGAACAAATCAATTGTGTTTGGAAAACTTTTGTTTTACCTACACTCATACAAAATATAGAACCGGATGCAGGATATACAAAAAAGGAATGTGAACGTCAACTTATATGGCAAATTTTTGATTATATTTCAAGGAACTCAAGTTACATAAAATCTGGAGAACCAACTGAACACACTGGTGAAGTCGTTAAAATATGTGTCAGCGATCGAGAAGTTGACATAAAAATAGGTGTAAAAACCAATTAGTCAATTGATGTTTTTATCAAAGAATGTTTTAATCAAATTTTAATAAAATACCCCGATTTTAAAAAATATAAAGACAGAATTGTGCAATTGTACAAGTCTTATTTAGAAACCTTATATTTTATACCAGTAAATAAATCAGATATTATGTTTGTATACAGTGACATTGTAGAACCACAAATTGTCGGTGACAATACTTTGAGTGGTTTACAAATAATAAAATAATAATAAAGAATACATACGAAAATAATTTTTTTGAATTTAAAAATATTCATTATTTTCCAGTTGAAAATAAATTTTTTGATAATATTTCTATTATGTTATGTGATAAATATGGTAAACAAATAAATTTTTCCAATAGTAATATTCCTACAAAAATTGTATTACATTTCAAAAAAGTATAAATAAAAGGTATTAAGCAAAAATTATATTACTTTTCTATTATATTATGGAACGATTGTATTATAAGTATTATTTAGTTCAATCTGGTAAAGGGCTTGATGATATCGGCCCCTTACTTCATTCTGCCCTTGCCTATCAAAGAGGTCGAGGATTGGGAAGTTTTTTTGGGGGGCTTTTTAAATATTTGAAACCTTTGTTTGTCTCCGGAGCTAATATATTGAAAAATGAAGCAATTAATTCTAGTATGAATGCTCTATCTGATATTGCAACTGGAACAAATATAAGAGAAGTAGTTCAGGATCGGGGTTTTAAAAAATGTGAGACGTGGAGCAGTTCGTAAATTAAACGAAATGTATGGATCTGGAAAAAGAAAAAGAAAAACTATAAAAAGGCGCCTCATTAAAAAAATCGACTATTTTGCTTCAAAGCGACGAAAAGTTAATACCAAAAGAAAAAAAGTTGATATTTTTGATTAATTATGATTGAATGTATGAAATCAGAATTGGATATTTTTAGAACAAAACAAATTCAATCTAGTATTTTAAGATCTGAAGAAGTTTCATACAATCCTATTGCTTCTTTAGATAATCCATCAACTATTGAATTTGTCTCATTAGGTCATGGTGATACATACAGAGATTTATCTTCTACATATCTTAGATTAAAGGTACAAATTGTTAAAAAAGATGGAAACCATTGGAATAACGACAAAGGTGCCGACGGAAAAACATTGCCCCAACCAAGTGTAGTGAATAATCTTCTACACTCAATAATAAAATAGTGTAATGTTCAATTTAACGGAAAAAGTCAGATGTCATTATCATTACAGAGCATACATTGAATCATTATTAAGTTATAGTACGGATGCCGCTACTACTCATTTAGAGTGTGCTGGATGGTGTTTAGATAAACCAAACATAGCAAAACCAGATAATAATGGATCAAAAGAACGTCTAAAACTTTATCACAACAGCAATATCGTAGAGCTAATGGGTAAACTACATTTGGATATGTTTAACCAACCGACTCTTTTAATAAACAACGTTGATGTGACAATTACTTTAACACTTGAAAAACCAGATTTTCATGATTTTTTGCCTTACAGAAAATGTTGGCTACTCTGGAAAAAGATCAAAAAATCCATATAATTTTCGACATTTTGATATGTCCCAATTTGTATTGTATGTAAATGGTGTACAAGTACCAAACACAGCAATTGAAACAAGTTTTTCAGATGAAAATAATTGCCATACTCGTGCATGCCATAGACTTTTTTCTGGTACAGGAATTTATCATAATGACAAAGGACATCAAATATCAAAATCTATGTTTAGTAGTGGATTTTTCATCTTGGCTTTCGATTTGACACCAGATGCATCAGGAAATGAGATATGTCAGGGTCTATTTAATCAATTAGCATTGAGGCAAGGTTATCTAAAGCGCAATCATCTGTATTGACTGCTATTGTCTATGGAGAATTTGATGCAAGTGTTGAAATTGACAAAAATAGAAATATTTTCACAAACCTATAAATAGAACATTTGCATAAATGGTTTTAATATTCAAGATGATGTCATCGTCTTATTTGTAAAAAATATTTGCTTAGTTGGGATTCAAGAAAAACGCAAAAAAATTGTAAAGGAGTTTTCTTACAAATTTCCAACTAAGGAACTAATATATGAAAATTTTGAAAACTATTCGTTTGGAACTTTGATTAATGACAATATAAGCTATGAACTTAAAGAAATATTAAAAAAATTCAATGTGATATTGACTAACGGAAAAATCAAAAAAGATTTCATTTCGTATTACATTAAAGAAAACAGTACAGTTTATGATTTAAGTGAATTAAATTTATGAATACTTTAGATATTATAAAATATTTAAATTGCAATAAATATACAAGAAAAAAATTTAGAGGTGTATTTGCTCTAGATCAAATACCAAAAAACCTTGAAAGATCTTCCCTTATAATTATAAATACTGATAAAGCAAAAGATCCAGGCGAACATTGGTTAGCCATATATATTCCAAAATATGGTTGTGTTGAATACTTTGATTCTTATGGAAGTTTACCAAATAAAAAGTAAATTTTAAGTTTTTTAAAAGATAAATGTATTGTTTTCAATGACAAACAATTACAAAGCACCTTTTCAGAAGTTTGTGGAGAATACTGTTGCGTGTATGCATGGTATAGATGTTTTGGTATAAGTATAAATAATTTTTTACGTGAATTTAAGAAAGGCAACCATATTAAAAATGATCAAATAGTTTTAAGAAAATTTCACAAAATATTTGGAAAGCAGAATATTCAGACATGTGTTTCTAGAAATCATGTTATATAAAAGATGAAATGTCTCAATTAAAATGCAGTTTAAAAACAGATAGCTAGATCAGCACTACTTAATCAGCGTTTCTTAAAACATGTTGTTGGCGTATACTTATTTTTTAAACAAAACACATACTGTAAAAGCAGTAATAGGATTCCACGTAGAATTATTAGAAGCAACCATTTCAATACACCGTATTGGAAAAAAGGAAATTTTTGTAAATTATGAAGATTAGGTGGAATTTTATCAGCAATTTCAAACAAAGTATAAAAAAAAAATTATAAATAACAAGGTCTCTTGTCTACAATTTGGAATAAAAACAAAAAATTTACAAACTTTCGTGTTAAGGAGCGAAGAGATGGATGAATTTCATATCCTAATTGATTTTATTCATTTGGTAATGGAATACAACCACAAGGCTGAAGAAGGTGTAAAAGACTATGTAAGGAAATATATAAGACAATGTGTATAAAACAATGAAATCATACTAAAAAGTGAAATTTATATACTATTAGATCGATTTAACTTTCAATGTAATTATTCTAGATTGTTTTATGAAATTCCGTTTTTACTTAAAAATAAGATAAAACAAGTAAAAACGTTTCACTCGGTATAAACCGATTGAATTATACCCTGCACCTTTCGTTATTGTATAGCAATTACTCCAACCTGTGAAATCAGTCTATAGAAACTTCACGGATATATCTGACCTATAATTGGACATCCGACTGCCAAGTTTCATGAATCTGATTTTATAATTTTTCCAAATATTTAAAATTAGCTTTTTGGAGTTGTATGGCACGTACCTGAACCTGTCAAGCAATTCCATCAAAATTTCACAAATATATCTGATCTATAATCGGACACACAACTGCCAAGTTTCATGAATCTGACTTTATTATTTTTCCAAATATTTAAAATAAGCTTTTGGAGTTGTATGGCAAGTACCCGAACCTGTCAAGCAATTCCATCAAAACTTCAGAAATTAGTTTGACATATAATTGGACACACGACTGCCAAAGCTCATGAATCTGACTTTATTATTTTTCCAAATATTTAAAATAAGCTTTTAGACTTGTATGAGAGCTACTCGAACCTGTCAAGCAATCCCACCAAAACTTCAGAAATATATCTGGCCTATAACTCGACACACAGCTGCCAAGTTTCATGTATCTGACTATATTATTTTCCCAATATTTAAAATTAGCTTCTGGAGTTGTATGGCAGGTACACGAACCTGTCAAGCAATTCCTCTAAAACTTCAGAAATATGTTTGACCTGTAATTGGACACATGACTGCCAAGTTTCATGAATCTGACTTTATTATTTTTCCGAATATTAAAAATTTGCTGTTGGAGTTGCATGGCAGCCACCCGAACCGGTGCAGCTATCCCATTCTAAGTTTTAGAGCATATGTAGAATATAATTGGACACATGTATACAAAATTTTATATTTATAGCTTTATTAGTTTTTGAAATATTTAAAATAAACTCTTTGAGTTGTATGGCAGCTACCCGAACCCGTTGTCCGAATTAGTCCTTGTGAAAGTTTGGTGTCGATTGCATTATTCGTTTTTGAGTTATCGTGCGATCGGACGGACGGACGGACGGGCGGACAGACGGACATGTCTAAATCGACGCAGAGTTTGACGCTGAGCAAGAATATGTATATATGTCCATCCCGCAGATGACTCCTTCAAGTAGTTACAAACTCCATACCAAAGTTAATATACCCTTCACGAAGTGCAGGGTATAAAAATACTAGACTAATAAGTTACTTGTATTTTATTTTATTTTTTCTTTTATTTACATTATTTTTGTGTTATTTAAAACATGAGTAATTGTAAAAATAATAAAAAGCAAACATAGAAATACCATATACAGCATAAGACATTTATAGCAATTTCAGCAAAATGAATTTGGTATCTGAACTGCTTCTTCTTCATTATTGAACATAATTGAAACCCCATCCCCTTTTGGTGATTGAGTATCCATTTTATTTCTTTAGTAAAACTGGAAAATTCGTTACAGTTATGCTGCTACGATTATAAATTGATGTATACTAAAGTTTTTTATTTTAATCATGCTTAAATATAAAAATACTGACTTTGTTCATTTTATTGAGCTGCAACGGCTTATATAAATAATCGAATACTTAACTGGTCATACTGAGATTTTTAAAATCGCTAAAGTAAATAAAACATATCCCATTACATATCAATTAGTTGACTATAAAGACAATACTATTTCTGGTGGTTTCTATAAGGAAGAACTTACTCCTGTTAAATATCCTGATGCTTACCTAGTAGAAAAAATTATTAAAAAACAGGGAAATAAAGTTTTCGTAAAATGGTTGGGGTTTAGCGACGATCATAATACATGGATCAATAAAGATAGTATTATTTAAAACATAGTACATATTATATACATAGTTTTATTTTTCGACCTTTGTACAATAATAAAAATTGGAGAAAGTAATTCTTTTGTTTGTTTTTTTATTTTTTAGTTTATTTTTATATTTTTACTTTTTTACAAATTTAGTTTTGTTTTAACCTCTTATATCCGTAAGGAAGGGAGCTACCATCATAATTTAAACAAAAACCCTTAACTTTACATATAATTTTTTCTTCTTTATCTTTTGTACTATATACTTTAAATGAGTAATTTTTGGGGCCACCGCTTACAAATTCTGTTATGTAGCTATCTTTACCATAACATTCTAACTCATCTGTCATGTCACCAATAAAATTTCCTACTGAAGGTTCATAGTCCCCTTTACGACTGATATACACTACGGAATCAGTATCGTAATATAAGACTCTTTCTTGAAGTTTTTCTAAGTAACTGTACAGTTTTAATCGCGCCTGAGTTGTTGTGTAAGCAGCAATACACTCATTAACTGTTGGTAAGGAATCCATTACTTCTTCCTTGTACTGCCAATTAACTATAATGTTTTCTTCTTTTACCGGAAAAATATAACAAACTTCTATAGATGGGTTTTTTAACAGGTTGTACAATTCTCTCGGCTGGTTAATGATTGATGTTTTTTGTAAATTTTCTCTTTGACCAAATTTGCCCCAAAATGAATTTAACATTAATTTGGCAAATGATCTTAAGCCAGGATTGTTGGAAACCTTTTCATGCTCCAATTGAATATCTTCTTTATCAAAAAAATCTTTAACATAGTTTTCTTTTTCGTTATTAGTGACACATTTAGATGGCCAGCCTGAAGCTTCTTGTTTAATTTTAATAAATTTGTTCATCATATTTGTAAATAAGCCCTGTGTATCCATGTTTTTATCATATTTTGTAGTTTGGTATTCCCAAACTTCATAAATTTCTAACATTTTATAACCTTTTTCAATAGCTTTTACAACTTCGTCAATTACCCATGTTCCTATTAAAGCTCTTTTCTCATCTGAATATGGACAACATTCTTCAAATCATTTTTCTTCACTACAACTTCGACATAATGAAAACATTAACTTGTTGTTTTGTTTTAGTGGGAGAACGGGATGTAGTAAGTTCGTTGGTGGTAAAATTTTACATTTAAGAATTCCGTCCATGTTATTTAGTTTTAGAGTAGAACAAATACTTTCCCCGACATAAATTTGCGGGTGACCAATAGGAAATTTTCCGTACTTGCAAACCCCAGGGTATAACGAGCACATGTTTATATATTTTATTTTTTCTTCCTCTTTACAATTATAATAGTTGTAGACATTTCCTGTTCGTCCTCCATAAAAAGCATCTCGAGGATTCAATGGTGCATGTTGCACTAACGGATGCTTTTTTAAATAACTTGCTTCTTCTTTACTAATTAATGAATTAAATTCACATTGCCACATTTCAATAACATCGTAACCTAATTTTCTTAATCTTTCAGCTTTTTTAATAATTCTTTCATACCTCGTGTTCATTGTATCATTTGAATCGTCTTGCAAACTTTTATTTCGGTAATGTGGTATACAAGTAGGGTGTCCATGATAATAACAACTGTAAAATTCAAAAACTTGATTAGTTTCTGAACAAAAACCGTCCACTTTTATACCGTTAACAAATGATTCATTCTGTTTTGCTGTATGTCTGATGTTAATATTTCTTTTTTCTTCTTCCCATACTAACCATTGAATAGCCACTTTTGATTGATTGTCTGAGTTTCTGTATCCATATTTAGGAATTAAACTAATTGTGTCCTCTTTTAAAAAATTTCTTCTAAATGCAAAATTACATGCAGATGCAATTGTTGTTGCTTCTAGAAATGGTTCAACATTACACTGCTTCAAGAACATTTCTCTGAATTTTAAACAAGATTGTGTTAAAATGGTAACGTCATTGACACAGTATTCAATAATTTCTTTTTTAATGTTAAGCATTTGATTTTTATTTTCTTCATACCATTTTAAGAAGGTTTCACGCTCATCTACTTTCATGTCGTTTGGATTGTAATATTCTACAGAGGGTAATTGCCCAATATAATTTTCATTTTTCGCTGTGTTAAAAAGATGCGGAAAATACCCTTTCTTCATATTAAATTGTAGATCAAAAGCTTTTGGTAATTTCGACAAAGCCATTGGAAAATAATTTAACGAATCTATAAATTTTATATTTCCCAATAGCATCATTAATACTTTTGTACCCCTCATTATCAGTTTAGTTTGTAAGGATGTTTTTTCTAAAATAAAATTCAAAATAAACTGATGATCGAAAGCTTGTCCATTGTGTGCAATTACTATAATATTTTTAAATTTTTTTCTCATTTCCAATATGTAGTTAAGAAAAGTTTCTATAATATTTCCTTTTTCAATTATTTTTCTTCTAATTTTGCAATTTACGCATAAATATAAAGATACAATATCAATACACTGATCGCACCTTTGCTCAAAAACACATAAAGTTGTTTCATGTTGTTTAATGACTGTTTTATTATTTTTTACAAGTTTTTCTTCAAAAATCTTTTCTTGTTTTGTTTCTAAATCATAAAAAATGAACAAGAAATTTTTTAAATTGGGTTGATATTTATTTGGTTGGATATAACATAAATGGTTACTTTCCACGTACTTATTGCATATTTTACAAAAATATTCACCACAAATGTGTTGTCTATCTTTTTTGTAAACCTTTAAACATTTGAAGCATTTATGTATTAGTTCGCAAATACTTATTGTAGTTGAACTAGAACTTTTGTGGTTATCAAAACATTCTTGACCATTAAATTTTCTGTTACAATCATTACACATAATATTTTACAAATTTTTATCACATGGTGGTGATTTTTGACAACACGGTACGCTACATGACAATCTTCACAATAATATATACAACTGAATGCTGCTGTAAGTGACGTAATCACGTTGTAATGGTTTTTGTGAAATAAAAGATTTAACTTTTTCCCTGTTCATAATCCTTCAAATATTACATCTTTTCCTTTTGTACCATATTTATGTACTATTATTTTATAATTAGATAGATGGTTTTGAAATTTGCTTAGTTCGATGACGCCGCAGCCTTTGCTAAGAATTGTAAGACCTGCATTTTCAATAAGTTCTGTGGCTTTTTTCGTTTGCAATTTTGAATTACTTTTTATTATTTGTTTATAATCTACAGATTTTTCGACTTGATGAATCGCTACAATTAAAGCTCGAGGCAAGCATAAATTATCTCTGTTTGAAATTGTAATAACTCCTCTACGGTGTTTGCATTCGTCATCAAAATTTGTGTATTTTAAAGTTTTACCGGTTCCTTGTGGTAATTTAACACATGTTGCTGTTATACAAAATTTATCAGAGCTTAAACCTTCAGAGTTACTCTGAAAAATATTTGATATGATGTTCCACACGTCTTCAAATTTAAGCTATCTCGCCTCCTGGAATTTCACCCATCCCGGTCCTCTGTGTTCAAAACTTTCATCGCAAAATGTCAATCTCATTTGATCTGTGGGGTCAACTCCTTCAAGAATGTATTTCAAAACTTGTTCAATTGCGTTTTTGAACCAATCAATTGGCTCTAGCTATGATGGTGCTGCTTTAACTTTAAATTTTATTACGCGACCTTGAATATTGAACCGTTTTATGACGGATATGTTTTCACTTTCGATGGTATACGCCTTTAAATTTTCTCGAAAAGATTGTAGAAATTTTTTTAAAACAAATTTTGCGCGCCATGTTTTTGTTCGAAAATACGAAAGTATACTGGCTGTAAACGGATTAAAATTTATTATATTAGTAATAAAAAAAAAACTAATTATTACATTGTAGCAAAATCATATTTCAGTTAATTAAACCTTAGACTTAGAATTTATTAAAAATAGAAATATTCAGGTTTAATCATCTGAAATGTATAAAAATAAATTATGATTTCTAATTGAAAAGATAAACACCAAATGCGGTGCAATCAATTGCATTGTACACTTCAAAATTATAGTTTAATCGTGATACATAAATTATGGTTTAAGAATTTTTTTTTCGGCTTTAGATCCTATTAAAAGAAAAAATCCTTTAACAACTTTGTATTGGAACTATTTTAAAAATAGAAAAACTTGCAACATTGTGGTTTTAATCATCTTAAAAAAATTATCCTGTCATCTTGTAATAAAATTAATTATGACTTCTAATTGAAAAAACTGTAATGCATATAATTGTATTTGATTATGGAAGATTTTATATGCTCAGTTTTTGCATAAATACTCTTAGAATTTTCTAAATATTCAACAGTCGCATTTCTATTACCAAGAAAAAATATATATCAATACCTAATAGAAATGGAATCGCTTGACTTGACCTATGAAGAAAGCCAAATTTTGATGACTACCCCAAAACGGAAAAGGGTGAGTCATCAAAAGGCAGAGCTGAATCAACAACAACAACAACAGCAACAATGTCATCAACAACAACAACAACCGCAACAACAACCGCAACAACAACAGCAACAATATCATCAACAACAACAACAACAAACACAACAACAACAGCAACAGCAAAAATATCATCAACAACAACAACAAGACAGCATCCAAATTTTGGATTGTTTTTCAATTGGGTTTGATGTATCTCAGGCCCAAAAAGAAAAGGAGGATCCAGATATGGATCTCATACGTATTTTTAACAGTCAAACGGTTGTTAAAAAATACTTAACGGTTCAACAAATGGACCGAAATGAAAACTACGCCTTAGAAGGCATAGAAGAAAAATTGAGTAGAAATACAAAAAAACCATATTGGGTGTTTGTAACCCAAAATAATTACATTTTCATGCCTGCCAATTACGTCAAGATTTTTAAATTAAATAAAAATTACCTACATTTGGTGAATTCAGGAAAATTCATCATAAACACAACAGATAATAAAAATTTAAAATTGTCAAAAGTATAAATAATTTTAATTATTTAAGTATTTAAGGAACTTAATTTTTTTTTGTTTAAAAATGAAAATAAAAATAAGTAAAATGAAAGATTTGTATTTTATTTCAACTTTCAGGTATTTTTTTTTATTTTCCTAGGTTTTTTTTAATTTTTTCAGATATGAGTTATGGTCGAAATAAATTTCAGTTACAATAAAAATAATTATGTGTTTTTAAATGTTTCATAATTTTCCTTTTTCTATAGGTTTAGATTTTATGTTATGAAATCTGTTGCTTCCATAAGAAAAAAGAACAACATTTAAATCTATTTTTTTTGTTGTTTTTCAACATACAAATAACACCAATTTACTTAGTACCAGGTTCTCAGAAAATTTAAAAAATACGACATTTTTAATATATGAGTTAAAAAGATGTTTTATTTTTTTCATTCTGCTTTAATAAAAACAACAATCAAAGCCAGATCATTCTTTACATATCACTTTTAAGCCTTCAACATTTTTTGCTTGTTTTACGAAGAATCGAACAAGAATTTCATTCCTTCTATTTCCTAAACTTAACCTTAAGTAACTACATATATATGAATAGATATGTATGTTATGTATCATAAAATGCATTGAAATATTTTCATATTTCTTTTTACCTTTTAATGCGAAAAATTAAACAACAGAAGCAAAACAAAACAAGAAAAGCAATACAAGATGTAATTAATCATAAGATATAAATAAATGTTATCTTATTGCATTTTTCTACACTCTTCTTCAAAATAATAAAAAAGTTGTAGTAGTAGTATTCTTACACATGGTACCTATATAAAAATAATACTACTTTTTTCATGATATTCCGTTAACATTATTTATAAAAACATTCTCTTTTTTCCCAACTTCCTGAACTCTTTACTTCAAAGTTAGGTCTACGACCTTAAAAACAACTGCCGCCATTAACTAACACTTGCTCGACGATACCAACGCCATACAACTCCTCGAACCAACAACAATCAAAGGGTCATGACATACTTACACATCAATCATGCAAGGTCTCAAGTACGCTGAACTCGGACAAGTAAACAACTAGTAAAAACAAAACAATGCGGTGCGCAAGCAACTAGATACAATAAAAAGAAAGGTAGAAGGAAAATAAAAATTATAGGTATCTCAATGTAAATATAACACGTTTTTTCCTTTTTTACTATCAAGGTAAAATTAAAAATACGTACTTTCTGATATTTCTAATTACCTAATACTATTTTTAAAATATGTAATTTAAATTTCCTTATCTGCTGGACAACTCCGGCAAAGGAAACTCACATGTAAACAAATCATGCAAAGTCTCAAGTACGCTGAACTCGGACAAGTAAACAACTTGCTTTGCAACCTTTGACCTCATAGACCTGGCGGCCACCTCAGCTTCGTACATGGGTCATGACACACTTAAACAAGTCATCTACCTATACCAGGAAACAAACGCCCCGTTGTACAGGTCATGACACACTTTAACAGGTCATCTACCTATACCAGGAAATAAGAAAGTGAAAGTGGGGCGTGCGATATGGGCTGATTTTTTCCCAGCACAAAGACACCCAATACCTACTTTGCTCTGATTCGAAGCTCATTTAATTTTATGGTGTTTTTCCTTATGTAGACAATAAAAGTTTTTTGATTAAAATACCTTGGGGATTTTATCTTCATTTCTTTAACATCCAAGCAATCAATTTTTAACTGCAATAATTACTCCTTTATCAGTTCACAACTTGTATTATCATCCAGCCCTTTTAGAACAAACTTATACGGAGCATCAGTGGGAATATCATAAGGGAGAACTTCCATTTATCATCATCTTTTGACGCACTTTTATTTTCATCAATGAGTGTTGAATAAATTTTTTTGTATGTTTCTGTGTTAAGAGCTATAATTTTGACACCAATACTACAATTTTTTAAAAGGTAATCTTTTGTATTGAAAGAGTTCATTTTTTTATGAATGTCCAAAGTGGATTTTAAACATACGTTAATAGGTGGTAAACGGACCTTTTTGTCTGCAATATTTGTTTGCTGAGCATCTGGTTCATCATCCATTAATTGGCTTAATGGAGCGAATCGATTTGTGTTGGTCATACTTGATTGTAGTGAATTTGAATTACCCTTGAGTTTTTTCTGATGACTGTTTTTATCATCTATGGATGATGAAGAATCACCAACATGAATACGCTTAATTTTAATTAGTGTTTATTAAATTAATTTTAATCAAAAATTAACCAATAAACGACAGCGTATGTAGATACGTACAATTTAAGGAAAATTTGTTTTTTAAATATCTATCTGAGTACTTAATGGCGAAAGACTAAGAGACATATGTAGAGAACATAACTTAGTCATTGGAGGCACATTGTTCCCGCATAAAGACATCCATAAATATACATGGACATCACCAGATGGCGCTACAAAGAACCAAATAGACCATGTATGTATAAGTAAAAAATGGAGAAGCTCGCTCATGGATGTAAGAACACGAAGAGGCGCTGATGCACAAACTGACCACATGCTTCTGACCTGCGACATAAAAATTAGACTGGCTACCCTGGCGAAAACTAACCCTGGTAGAAAGAAAAGGCTAAATATCCAGGAATTAAATCAAGAAACAAAAAGAGAAGAACTGGATAGGATTATCCAATACAAGATGCAGGCAGAACAACAAATTACGCAAGAAAAGGGGCAGGAGATCTATAGAAAAAGTGCTGAAGAAACAATTAGCTCTACAAATATTGAAAGAAAGCCATCGATATCTGATCATACATGGGCACTAATAAGCAGAAGGAGGTCCCTAAAAAGGAGGCTTCTAGTTGATACAAACCATGAAATTCGAGAAGAACATAAAACTATCTGCAAACAAATCAAGAAATCAGCGAGAAATGATAAGAGAAAGTACTATAATGGCATCGCAACAGAAGCCCAACAGGCTGCTGACCAACATAACACCAAACATCTCTATAAGAAAATCAAGCAGCTCGCAAATAGGGGTTTAAGAAAAAATCAACCCATAAGAGATAGAAACGGTAATAAGTTGACCAAAACTGAAGAACAACTGGAGAGATGGGCAGAACATTACGAAGAATATAACAACACACAAGTCGAATGGAACCCTGATATCTGGCAGAATCGGAGCCATGAAAGAGGTGACATTAACACAGCAACTCCAATCTCAAGAGAAATATGCGAAGCTATAAATCAGTTGGAAAACAACAAGGCCGAAGGCACAGATGGCATAGCAGCAGAAATACTAAAGGCCAACTCTCTACAAAGTGCGCGATCTCTTCAACCAATAATCACCCAAATCTGGACAACAGAGCGCATCAGCAAAGAATGGAAGAAAGGCATAATTGTCAATCTACCACAGAAGAGAGATCTAACCAACTGTAATAACTGGAGTGGCATTACTATACTTAATACGGCCCACAAAATATTGGCTCTAATTGTACAGAAAAGAATTAAGAACCATGTAGAAGGAAATTTAAGAAAAGAACAGGCGGGGTTCAGGGAAAATAGAAGCTGTACAGAACATTCAAATACCATCAGAAT